CCCCCCTGCCCCCCCCCCCCCCCCCCCCCCCCCAAGGATGTGAACCTACTTCTGTTACCTTATGACTGAACCTACTGTTATCCTCAGAACAAGACCAAGTTGAACTTCATGGATTGATGGCATCAACATCAAGGCAAGGAATATTTATGAAGATACTGGAATGTAAGAATTTTTACTTTTTCCACATAATACCATCCTAAACCTGTAATCTAACACTGCTGGGTAACAACTTTAAGAAACAGCTTGCCATTAGACAGCTTGAGCGACAGGGATGAGTCACAGATGAACCAACTCTTCACCTTTACAAAGCATTGCATTTGACTTACCCATCATCAACTTCTCTAGTAACACTACATTTTCTGGTATCATGAAAAAAAAACTAGCCCATTCTTTAAGTCATCCTTTTCATGAGTCATCTGCCTTTGCCCAAGTAAGGCTGGCCTAGTCCTGTGCATTATCACACGGATACTGATGACTTGCTACAGCAAGTACCAGACTAACGTGGGTTAGTAAGACTCAAATGTGAACGAGTAACCTTAGGCTTGAGGGCCAAGAAACTCAATATTCAAGATCAAACAAACCATGGGGCACCCTTGAGTATACAGAGCTAGAAAACTGCTGATTGTCGTAGCTCTAGATCTACAAGAGTACTGAAGCCTGGGGTTACAGTTGAGTTAGGCCGTGTCCATTTAGGCCCAGTTCATATCTCACCCGATGATGAGGAAAATTACGACGGTGAGGACGAAGTAGTTGGTCTGATAATACAGTAGATTGTGGACCACTCTCTTCGGCCATTTCTCGGGATCTCTCAAGTTGGGGATTTGAAAACGGGCCGAATTGAGGAGGAAATCGTCCAAACTCCTCAGGGGAGCAATTTCTACTTCTACCTTGACGTCCGCCATGACTCCGAGCAGTGTTGCATTGAAATAATTCAATAGCAGCAATTCTTAAATAGCAGCAATGCAGACAGTCATGAAAAGTTCAGATATATAAATCACGATTTTTGAATTATTACACCCCTTTTGGCGCTTAAAAAAAGTCAGCATTGCTGGCATATGAAGCGTTTTCGTCCTCAATAAAGATACTATACATACGAAACACAGGCACGCATCCCTGTTTCTGGATACCTCAAGGAACCGGAACCATGTGCGTGTCACGTGCATTTCAAGTTCAAGATGTCCTCGAGCAGTGCCGGAAAATTTACTTCCATGGACATACTATAGGCATTCAGCTTGAAGTGGTTAGGCTCTGGATTGATTTCTGAAACATCACCTCTAATCCTCCATCACCGAAGCTTAAACTCACCTGACATCATTGCGAAAGCATTAAGGCGAACTTGTCATGGGCCATACAAAGTTCCCTTCGTGACCGCAATGACAAGGCTTGTAATTCAGAGAACCATAGTCATTACCATGGGTGGATACAGAAATTTTTCATGGGGGGGGGGGGGGTTCCCAAGATCCTACCAACCCCCCCCCCCCCCCCCCTTTCTCCTCCCCCCCCCCCCCCCCCCCCCCGCCTACTTTTCGTCTGGTGTAAGAACTTGAGTATCGATTTCACTGGCTCCAATAAAATTTTATGCAGATGCTATCTTGGATAAATAAATCAAATGCTAACCTAGCCATAGAGGCCCCGGTCGCCCACTTGTATCTGCCCTTGTCATTCCAACCCAAGCGTGAACAATATTTGAAACATTCCTATGGAATTTAATGTATGTTCTTTTTTTACCCCTCCCGTAGGAAGGGTGCAAGAAATACCTTTAGACTCATTGACTGTTCCCCTCCACGGAAATCTTTAGTAAAAGGCGAAAGATTTACTCGCTTTGAAGGGAAACCAGAGTGAAATAAAACGGGATCTAGACACATGGACATCTCCGACACCTTCATCCCACCCAAAGAATGTCCCTCATTTCCCGGCATGACATCATCTGTCTATTTATAGACAATAGCCTATTCATTAATTTCTTCAATGATCGATGCAAACGGTCACGGAAAAGCAATAGTTGCGACAAAGCTCCGACAAAATACAGAAAAATATTCACTATAAAAACATTGTAGATTCCTACAGCCACCCAACTGCTGCCATCTACTGGCCATAACGAAAAGCAATCTCGAACCCCCATTTTCCCCTCTCACAACGAGCATTTGAATTCCTTGTGGCTCAAATCTACATTTAGTCGATTAAAATTCAATTACTTTCGACTACATTTTTAAATTGCTATTAATCCTTTAATGATTGATCGGTCGATTAAACTAATCGAATTGACTGCCCTACCGAGAATCAATCGAAAAGGCTTAAAAACACGATCCCTTCACCCTGATCAACGAAGTGAGAACCTGCTGCATCTTCACCACTCCATCTGGACGTCACAGTGTTGCAATAACGCTTTTCCCAGTGTTGCAAGAACGCTCATCAGTTTAGTCTACTCTCTCGGTGCCCTGCATCGTCCCTTGCATAAAGTATATATTTCGTTGATTTCTCGCCAACAGCCGTGAATTCTACGCGTGTTTTCGAAAAGTCGTTCGATGATCGTGACTACATATACATTTGAGTTCCGGAAATTATCCATCAGAAACGTAATATCTTTGCACCATCAGCCCACTGTGCCACCAGGGAAATTATGTTGCCATAATTATGAGTCCACAGTATGAACCACAAGTAAATTATATACAAGCCAAACACGTCAAACACGAGTTGAGAGGTAGATTCAGGGCATGTCGTGGTGTCGGCGCCATCGAAAAAAATAAGCAAAACTACCTCGGCAGTCGGCTTGTTGAGCTTGAAATAATGTGCTGGATCGATTTCGGGAACACCATCTCCATTTCCGTCACCTTCACTCGCCCATCGAGAAGGCACTAGAGCGAATACGTCGGAGGCCTTTGCTGAGCTCCCTGGTGAAAGAAGCGGAAGAGGACTTCCCCAGTCTGCGCCAAGTAGATTCGACGTCGTTCCATTCCGCCAATGAACCTCGTGAGAGATCAGAACGCTAGAGAGTATCAACCTTTGCTAAACTTCGTTTGACTCATGGACTACTCCCCTCCATGGAAATCTTTAGATTCATTCGCTTGGAAAGGAAACCAGAATAAAACAGATTTAAGATCGGAAGACTGTCGTCTCAGATACCTTCATCCCGCCGATGTAGTGTCCTCGTTTCCCAAACAAGAACTCATAGATCTTCCATTAAAACTATTCTACCCATAATATTCCCCAATGCCATGGATTCATATGGAGGCTGTATCAGGAATGGTCTCACCATTTCTTCACAGCGATGCGAAGTAGACAAGCCTCGACCCACGTTCCATCCTCACTACCGCCATCTCCTGGTCACAAGGGAAACCAATCCATGCACATCATCGCCAGACACGTTACCATCGGCTCAAAACCGAAACTAATCCCCCCCCCCCTCCCGGCCTCCTTCATTCTTTTCCAATACGTTAGGAATATTGCAAACTAGAGAAATGGACTTCCCAAGGGAACTTTTGCATTTGTGGTTCTCTGGGAGAAAGGCAAAGTTTACCACCTCCACCCTCAACGTTTTAGACACCCCCAAAAATACCGCTCACAATGGAATTCTTACAGCGAAACATTTACCTTGTTTCGATGGATGTGTTTACAAAATATAGATTGCAACTTACATTGGAATTCATTGTTACAAGACAAGTCACGAGAAGATTATTTGATGACATTTCGTTTTTTTTCATAAGGTTCAATGGATTAAAGCTGAAGAAAGGGACGAAAAGTAAACGAAAACGAAATGGAATCAATCAGGTCGAAGTTCTTCCGGATTTTGCAAATAGAAGGAACGAAACTTTTCCACGGTCTTCATCGGACAATGAGACCGGCCCAAAGAGGGAGGTGGGATCGCAGATTGAGAGAGAATTTATTTCGAAATTCAGTTTCTGTAATGGCCCGAAGATGGCAGCAGTGGGGTGGCAGTAGGTTTCTTCACTGTTTTTACGTGTGTGTTTTTTGTATATGTAGGGCAATACCTTTCGACGGTCTCTCTAGCATGACCGTTTCAATCATTCATTGCAGAAATTTCCTGATTACGCAATCGTCTGTGAAGGACGCATGAAATCACGCCAGGAAATGAAAGACAGTCTATCGTTGGGATGAAGATATAGACGAAGTCCATATGTCCTGATCCTCCCTTCAAGCCTCTCTGGTTTCCCTTCAAAAGGAATAAAACGGAGAAGAGGCACCAGGGCCCATGAGCTTGGGTGGGCCCAGGCGCGAGCCACGATGAGAGGGGGGGACGGGCGTGAGCTTGTTGGCCGTGAGCTTGTTGGCCGGGAGCCCCATGGGTTGGGAACGAAGTGAGTGCCAAGAACTGGAAAGGAAGGTCAGAATGAAGCAAAGGGATTCTATGCGACACTGCACAGAGACATCTCCGCAACAACATCATATTATGATATGAAGTGGTGGCCACTTTCGAAGGTATTCACACTTTCACACCGACTTCAGCTAGCAGTGACAGTGGAAACCGTGGAGCGCATCTTTTCCAAACTCCAGATTTTAAGAGTCATTTGAGCATTAAAGCAAAAACGAAATGGAAATCATGATAGCTAGTCACGCACGATCTCACCACTGCCTGGAAACCCACTCAGCCTTTCATGAATATGAAGTTTCTCAGTTCTTTTTGTACTTCCAAGTGTAATGTCATGATTAATAGCACTTGAAGCATTGGTTAATGTGGGGATAGAGAAAAAAATGTTCCAATTTGAATCCGAAACAGCCTATTTTTAGAGCTCCTTCCTCCTGAGATTTCGCACATTTTTGCATTTTCGCCGACCTTCCCAAGGAGGAGGAAAGGAATGGAAAACACTTGGTTGCCTTAGCGATTGTGGATGATTTCAAAACTGCAACTATCTGCCAAACAGAACATGATTTAAAGTACGGCTGAAATCGCTATTCCAGGCTCACGATTCTCAATAAGAATTCGGTATTACCCCGCTTTCCCTTACTCTGACTCCAATTATTTCAGAGTTGGTGGGAGCAAAGACTGAATAAATCGGAACGGAGATCGCTGAGATAAGGGACTGGAAGAAGGTAAATTGGGACAATCCAATTTTTGGACTCATTGTTACCCTTCCCATAGGAAGGGTGTAAGAAATACTCATAGACTCATTGCTTGTTCCCCTCCACGGAAATCTTTAGTAAAAGGCGAAAGATTTATTCGTTTTGAAAGGAAAACCAGAGCATCACGGATTCATGATCGGAAGACTGTAGACTCCGATGCCTTCATCCCGCCGATGTAGTGTCCTTCGTTTCCCGAACAAGACCTCATAGATCTTCCATTAAAACTTTTCTACCCAAAATATTCCGGGGATCGCAGATTCAGAGGGAATTTATTTCGAAATTCAGTTTCTGTCATGGCCCGAAGATGGCAGCAGTGGGGTGGCAGTGGATTTCTTCACTGTTTTCACGGTGTGTGTTTTTTGTATATGTAAGGCAATACCTTTCGACGGTTTCTCTAGCATGACCATATCAATCACTCATTGCAGAAATTTCCTGATTACGCACTCGTTTGTGAAGGACGCATGAAATGACGCCAGGAAATGAAAGACAGTGTATCGTTGGGATGAAGATGTAGGCGAAGTCCATATCTCCTGAGCCCCTAATAACGTCACTCTGGTTTCCCTTCAAACCGATTAAATCTCTCGCCTTTTACTAAAGATTTCCGTAGAGGGGAACAGTCAATGAGTCTATTGGTATTTCTTACTCCCTTTCTACGGGAAGGGTAAAATGCTACAGAACGGTGAAACTCCCACAAGAGTTCTTGCCTCGCACGAAATTCATCACCACGAAGTAAGAAACTTTTTGCAAGTTCGGCATGGACATGAAAAGTCTCATACGCGATCATAGAGTGGAGAGTGTCACTAGAAGCGAAACTCGAAGTTTTATG